TCCCTGGAAATTGATGGAAAAACAAGGTGCTTCCAGGATAAAGAGGAACTAGAGGAATTTGCAACCACCAATTCAACTCTACAGAGAATACTGCAGGATATTTTTAAAAAGGAAAATACCAAGACTTCAGAAACAGTGGCAGAGAGGCCACAATGAATAGAGCAGAAAGTGAAATGAAGAAGATAAACTGACAACAAACGACAGAAAAAGAGCTCAACAGAAATGAGGCAGAGAAGATTGGATGGTATGAACAGCTATTTTGGAGAAAACAAGACATCATAATAGGTAGCGCCGATTTAGTATCATCTTGCTTTGAAGTCCCATCAAGCTTTTATTCTTCTGTCTCCATCGGTCTTAACAGGTTGTATCTTACTGGATTTTATTATATGTGATAATATAAGTGAAAACTTTTATAGACAAGGAGTTATACAGAAGCCATTGTTCATTTTCTGATAGGCGGTTCTAAATACCCTGTAATACTGTCATTCTCTTGAATGGTTTTACATTGTCTTGATATGCTTGGTGCTACAGTATTCGAAGTTATACTCAAAAGATTTCAAGGAAAGAGACACTATGGTAACTATTTTTATGTCAGGATATCTTGTGGTGAAACACTATTTTACTTAAATGGTTATGCTTTGACCAGTGCTGTTTTGCTGTTATGCCCTCTTTTATCTCAGTTTCCTTTTTAAAAATTATTTACTTTTTTATTTTTATCTTTTTAATTAAGGGAAAAATTAAAAAAATAGGATACATTATAGTAACCCACTTTAATTTCCTATTAACTTGATTTGAAACCCTGTATAGCCCTCACCATCTTGCTTTGACTGATTTTCCTCTGTTCTGTTTTGCTTGATAGTACCAAGTTCGAAAGTATAGGCAAAACTGTAAAGACAATAAGATTCATTATGACGCCCATTCCAGTTGACTATTATCTTCTTTTAAAGTCCTGTAATGTCTCCAATGTTTTGGTTTTATTCTTTATTGTTTTGTTCAGTTTTATCACAACTGATGATATGGGCAATTCCTTTTAAGATAGCAAGAGGCAGTATGGTAACCATTGTTGATCACCTAGTATTTTGTTTTTACATTATCTATTATGTCCATCCTTTTGATTTGACTGACTCTGTTCCGTTATGTCACATTTGGTTTTACTGTCTTCAAAAAATAAAGTAATAAGAACTGTGGGAGTAATAAAACCCAAAATGTGTAATTGTCATTGTACAAAAGAAAGGAAAAGAAAGTGCTCTAAAGAATATAACTACATATATATTTAAGTGTATAAGATAGATAACCATATTACAGAGTTTTGTTGGATCATTGAACAAAACTGTTTCCAGTCTGTTTGAAAGTCCACTTTATATGCTTTAATTTTGTAACTTGAACAACTATTTTTAAGATAACAATATGTAATCTATTAAATAGTGATTTCCTACTGTTTATTTTTTCTGAAATTCTGTATAACTTGTACCCTTTTTCTGTTATTTTTTTTCTTTTTCTCCTTAAATAAAAAAAAAAAAGAAAAAAAGAGAGGCAGATAGTCAACAAAACAAACAAACAAACAAATAAATAAATAATATCCGTGCATTTAGAAAGAAAGATGACACCTACAAAAGAACATGTATGTCAAGTCTATGGAAACATATAGTTTATTGCAGAAATACTTTTTATGACACGGTAATTGAAAAGCTTATGGAATTCATAATATAAAAGGAGAAATACAACATAATATTAGCATTCGAGTTTATCGATAGAGAGTTAATATCACCTAATGGTAAGACACTACGTTTGACATTTTCATATCAAAAATTGATTTTCAGTACAACCTGATAGTAGGATTTGTTCGTATGAGAAAACATTTATCTGTGATAGACATATGATAGCTTAAAAAAAGTATTCTTGCTGAATGAAGGAAACAAGTTTTAGAACCAGAATTAAGTCCAGATTTTTTATTTCCAGTGCTCTCATTACACTATCCATTCTTTTCTAAACTCTGGTCAGCAGGGTTGTAAGTCTCAAGTTAGTTGTAGTGGTGGTCAGTGAGTAAATGTATTTTTCTTTGAAACTGCAAGAGTAATCAGGAGCTCTGATTTCCAAAACTGCTGCTATTCACATTTCATAATCTCATACTTGCTAGTGTGGTTGACGTAATTGTTTACACAGTGTTTATTTCACTTACGCAGTGTGTACACAGGTTGTCAACCGGCTAAAACTGTTCTTGCCCTTTGGTATTGGGCCATTCTGCTGATACAGTGAATTATAAATATTATAAGGACAGGAGCAGTTTGTGTTACGAGATAGTACAACATCATTTATTATGAACTAGCTCATTTCCTGTTCTCTGTAGTTTAAGATGTGAGTTAAAATATCAGTCTAAATTGTAAAGGTTACTACAAAATATAACCAGTAATTATACTTTGCTTAGAATATACTATACAAAATATATACTGGCATAAGTTACTTTGCTCTTGCTTAAATTGATCCTGGCTGGGAGAAGAGGAGAGATGATATCTTTAATATAAAAATCAAAATGTTGACGTTTTAAAATATATTCTCCTGAAGTTAAATCCCTGCTACACTTGAGCCAGCCATAATAGAGAGGAGCATCTTGTGATTATGAAAGAAAATAATGTGACAAGGGAATTCTGGATCTTGTGTGTTTCACTTGAGTGGCACTGCTATATTTGGAAGCTTCTGTCTTCCCTTTCACCTACAGGCCTGTTTGTTTACTTTGGTCTCCTCCATTCTTTTCCCTCTGTGGAAACACTCAGTCTGAGTTCAGTTTCAAATACCTTTCACAAGGCTATCATTATAATTACAACATATGCTAAGAATCATGTCACAATTTTCAAGTAAATTCTTGAATGTAAGTAGTTTCCTCATCAATGCAACACAATATTCTTTAACAAGGGAAAATAGTTAAGCATGGCTTTCTAAAGTACTGCATGCAGAAGATATGATTAGCTATGTTTTGTTCCTTTCATCACACACCTTACATATTAAGGACCTATGCCAGCATATGCCAGGCAGATCTTCAACTCAGGAAACTCTTCTAACATATTTTCTGTATGATATATTATTATTATTTTAGAAGGCACACAGTGGTATGCATAACCTTAAACACTCAGCAGATACTAGCTTTCCAATTATCATAGTACATGGAGAGAAAAGCAATGTCCAAGACCATACAAATTTAGGGAAGAGAAATGATTTGAATCTGGCAGCTTGGCTTTAGAGTTACTACTTTCTTCACATCATTAGGTTTGGTTCTTAAAATTTTCACACAGTAATAGTTTTATGCAGTGAACATGGTGATGTGGTTCCTGCCTGCCTGTACAGGGTTTATTATCTAAATTTGCTTGTTTTTCTTTCTATAGAATTCTTCAAAGGTTTTGATAGGGAACTAGGGCTTGTAATTTACTAACTGCCTTTGTTTATTATTAAGCACGTGTCATGTACTGTGTTCTGGAATAAACATTAGAGATGCACCAGCCATGCAGGCCTGTCTGGGAGGAAGCTGGAATGAAGCAATGCAATGTCTTTTCATAAATGCTTAATGCAATCTGTGCTTCAACTAAAATTTTACGAAAGAGATAATGCTTGAGGGATGGTTTGGAGTTCGATGAATGAAAAGAAGGAGGATTTGTAAATGGAAGGCACAGTGATGAATAAAGGTTGGGTTAGAGATGAAGAATGGAAATGCTTGTGATGTGACTGGAGAAAGAAGATAAGGTTTAAGTTTAATGGTCTTGTTTCTCTCTTTGTAAAGAACCAGAATCTACTCTATCAGTGGTGCAAATTATGAAGATGTTTAAGTAATAAAAAACGTAGTATGTTTCAGGCGTTCGTTTGGTTTGTAGTAATTAGGATTAAACCCAGGGCCTTGCACAGGCTATGCAAGTGCTTTACTATTAGACTAGATCTCTTACCCTTTAAAATATTAATTTTTGTGTTGCGATGTCTCACTAAGTTGCCCAAGGTGATCCACCTTCCTTAGCCTCCCAGGTAGCTGATGCTATAGGGGTGCAACTCCACACCCAGTTTAGACCCATTAAATGGACAGCTTGACTGAGAGCTGCTATTAGAAGTAGTTTGGTCTTTACTGTTTTCCTCTCATCTTTCTCCACCCTCTTCTTTGCCTCCTCTTCTTTGGCCTCTTGGAATTCTTACCTGACCTCCATCCAATCTCATCACTCCTCCCAGTAATAAAAGGTATCTTTATTTTATCAGGTTTCAACCTCAGGTTTTTAGAATAACACCCAGTGTCTGTCATGAGGCCTTATAATAAATGTACAATTCGTCCTTATTTTATTCTTCTATTCAGAAATTCCCTTGTTAATGGAATTTCAAGCACCATTGTGAGAAAGAGGAATATTTATATATGGGAGAGCGATGAACTGTTACCGGGAAAACATGGGGTCCTGCAGCCTTTGTAGCGCTCCTCTTCTCAGATCCCTGCCTATCCTGCTGCAGAGATGTTTTCATATGTTGCCCTGTCCTACCTGAGAGACACACAGCATTACATGGCTCTGCTCAGCTCCCAGCTGGCCTCTCAGCTTGCCCCTTCTTGACCGTGTCCTTATGTCTGTCCCTTCTTTGTTTCCTCTACCATGTTTTCCTAAAATAGGTATTAAAAGATGATGCAGGTGGAACTCCTTTATACAAACAATATAGATGACAGTCATAGCAACTAATTTCTATTTTCACCTAGATTTTATCTCTGTGTTTCTATACAGCAGTTTTCCTTAAAGGATCTCTGTATTTTAATGGCCTAAAATTTTTATCTTTCTGTAATAGTGAAAATAATTCTGTTTTCCTTCATTTCTTGCCTAGGAGGCTGTTTTTGTCTTTTAAAGCTTTTCAGAGAATCTGTCTTCATCTCTGGAGAAAAAAGTATAGAACAACTTTCTGAATAGCCCTTGATTTGCATTAATGATGTATTGCAAGGGAAATGTACTAATTTTTCATTTTGAATTTCCACGCTTTCTTTCCTTTCTTAGCTAGAAGAACTGACGGAGACACACTGGGGCGGTGACGGCAGACGGGCTGTACTCTACCTGCCTTCTTCCTACAATAGAACAGAACTTCAGCTCTACCAGCATATCCTCACAGAGCATCATTACACTATTGTCATCGCCGAAGAAAGGTTCAGTGCTGGCCGTGGGCTGGGGCTGCTAGAACAAGGTCAGAATAATAAGTAATTACCAAAGTCACTTGACAAAAAATATAAGCAATTACTAGAGTATACCACTGTCTTCTCTAAAAAAGAGTTCACAAAAATAAATCTTTATCCATCTTTAATTTTCTCATGTCATAGAAAAGTTAGCTCCTATTTTCTCCTTTCTCTCAGATTTTCTTTAGCTTAGAGCTCTTTCTTTATTCATGAAATTATTTAGTTTATAGTTTTATAACATTCTGGAGTATCATAGTTCATGTTTAAATGTTACATTAAAAATGTTTATGTTTATGAGCCTGAATACATATTCTGTTCAGCATCAAACTGTTCCACATTTTAAGGAAACTGCCACTTCATTTGTCTGCAAGTAGAATGTACTGGAAATTGTTTCAAGAAGCTAGCTTAAATATGATTCACATTTGGCTCTGAATATGAAAGAATTAAGGATATTTATTATAGATGACATTACTCATCAAGTACTTTTCTGTCATTTGAAGAGAAAAATAGGAGACAAGTTTTCTAGTAAGTTATTTGAAAAAAAATTGAGTAGATGATATAGGTTAAAAGAGCAAAAGCAACAATAGCTTATGTTTCTTGAGCAGCTAAACATAGGACATACAGTACAGTCTGTATTCAAGCCCTCATTTAACCCTCATGGTAGCCCCCTGAGTACTCTAAGATTAACGAATAGTAACTGCCCCTAGATTCCTGAAGGGAAACTGAGGCTTTAGAAGATGAAGTGACCCCCCTGTATCTTTCACCTGGTGAGGAAGTGATGAATGGGGAGGGCTGCCATATCCAGCTCTCATTTCCTCCTCACCCTCTTATCTTAGTCTCTCTTTTGGCCCATTATCCTGCCAAGAGGTCATCATGACAGCACAGTGACATAGAATAAGCAAATCAGATTTGTCTGTTTACAATCGTGCAACACAAATGTCCCCGGCATTCACAGGAGATTTTATTCTAGGAACCCTGTGAGTACTAAAATTCATGGATTCTCAAATCTCTTCTATAAAACTGCATAGTATTTGTATACAACCTATTTACTTCCTCCCATATACTTTAAATCATCTCTGGATTATTTCTCATATCTAATATAATAACAATATAAACACTACTTTATTGTTGTTGAATTATTTAGGAAGTAAAGGCGAGGGAATAAAAGCCTGAACAGTTTTAGTACATATGCAAGTTTTAAAAATACTTCAGTCCATGGTCGGCTGAAGCTTTGGATGTGGAAACTGTTATTATGAAGGGCTGACTGTATGTTGATTTTCCTTCTTATTGGAAGGGAAGGGGAATCTGAATTAACTGATGATTTCTGAGATGGTTTCCTTTGGGAAATAATGGCCAGATCCTGGCACCAAAATATATTTCAAAACAACCTTGCTGTCACTGTAATGCTTCTTGTTCAGTTGCATGCCCACTGGCTTGTGATGGTAAAAAGGAGTTGGGGAGAAGTTTTTGGGAATGTTTGTGGTAATGTTTAGCCTCCATCACCCCTCATGTTGGCTATAAGATACTTAGCTAGCAAAGCTCACAGAATCTAACAAGATTTGTTTGGCTTTTTTCACTACTAGAGATAGAACCTAAGAATCAGACATGTTCAGAAAGTGTCCTACCACTGAGCTACATCCCTTTTTATTTCAGATCAAAGTCTCACTAAGTTGTCTGGCCTGGCCTTGAAATTGAGATCCTTTGTCTCATCCTCCTGAATAGCTGAGATTACAAAAGAACTATTTCGATGAGAGGAAATGTCTTAAAATACGCAGAGAATATGCCAAGAGGGCAGATCATTTATGAATGCCACTGGCTAGTCCTACTGCCTAAGAGTAGTAGGGAAATTCAAAGTGCTGGACTTCTGGACACAAATGAGTAAAAACAAAAACAAACAAACAAAAAACATGAAGGCTCTGGAATATTAACAAGAACTGAAAACCATATTTGCAAATCTCAGTGTTGTTTTTGTTGGCTGTATTAACAGGGGGCCAATCCAAAGTTCTGTAACATCCACATGTGATGTTATCTAAAACCTATTCATCAGAATAACTACTGATACAAAGAAAGATAGGAAATATTTAGTTTCTCTCATTGCACAAGACTTTTCATCCTGTAAGTAAACAGGATGATTATACTGATGCTGTCCTATGAGCTGTGCTCCTGAGGTCAGGAGAGTAGCCCTGAGGACATTTCATTAACGTCTAGTGGTCCTCTACTTTCCTGTCTCCTTGCTGCTGCCCCTGATTTACTACGGACACAACATGGATTATCTGTGTATTTCAATTTCAATATCTACTTTCTCTCTTCTCCAGCTGCAAAGCAGATGGACTATGTCTCTCCTCTGCTTGATGTCGTTAGGTCAGTTTTATAGTGAAAAGGAGGATTGCTTTTCAGCTTGCCAATATCAAGGAAGTGCAAAGACAGCTTGAAAGCAATGGAGCTGGCAGTCAAAGTGGCTGCGAGGGCCTGCGGAGGCACAGTGGGTGAAGATAACTATATGGTGTCGCCAGTATCTGTCAGTGTAAATGCTGATTTGGTTCTCTTTTCCCACATTTCCACAGCTTTAAAAATATCGTTCTAACTCTCTTTTGGCATTCTTTCACTCTGTATTGTAAACTGTTATTTCTGGATAGGCCTCAAGAAAGGGTAGTGATTTCACAATTTCATGAGTATGAAAAATTGAGTTGTGATTTTTTTATTTGATTTTGAATTTTTTTAAACTATAGAGCAGTGTGAATCAAATACCTGAAATAAAACAGTTCTATGATTCTAATCTAACATTTTCTTAACTATTTATCCCAAAGGAGGGGGAACATTTTTAAAATTATTTCCCAGGCTCATAACTTTAATCTATAAATTATGTTTAAACTGAGGCACTTACTATAAAAATATTTTCTAGAAATACGATTCTTCTAGAATATTTTTCTTTAGTGTTATATTCTGAGTTGTGTTACATTTCTTTAATGTTACATTTCTTGAGTGTTCACTTTCTGATTATCCTTCTGGGCATATATAAACTATGTATGAAGCTGTATTGGCACATCTAAACTTCACCTCCCCAAGTTAAGCACCTAGGGCAACTGAAAACAATTCAGAGTGATCTGGAACCTTCTGCAACCCATGTATGGTTTTGCCATTGCAGTTTTTCTGATTGCTAACTTACAATTTGAAAATATTACATTAAAACCAAAGTAGATATTTCTGCAAATGCTGCTGAGTATCTATGCTCAGGTTTGACACATTGAGAAAATACATTCAGTTGTAAGAAAGTGGATATAAAATGTATTTGCCTTTTTGTCCCTGTCCATTCCACCTGCCTTTCTCTCCTCTCCTGACTTGACCACGTCATTTCTGTTAACCTCTATGCCATCCTCCAAGCACAGGTCATGTTTTTCCAAGTTGGAGCTGCTTTTGTAAACCTTTCATGGGCAGAAAAGAATAAAAGTTAGAAAAAAAAGAATCATGAATCAGATAGATAACCGTGTACTATTCAGTATACTCACTACTGCTAGGATGACCTTTGGGCTTTATAATGTATTAATTTTCCTTCTACTTAACTAGTAAATACCCCTTGAAAAATAGGCAAGCTCAGGTTCTAAATCAGAGTATGGGCAGAACTTGTTAATTCATGCTTGTGGCATAACAGAATGAGAAAACTTGTAGGGCTATGTATACATCATCTTAAGCAACCTCAGTTCTCTGAGCACTAGTCCTCTGTCTGCTAAAGGCAGGAATAATATTTACTTTATGTGGTATGTATTCAATCACGTGGTTCAACTCCATCACTGTTCTGGAAAGAGACAAAGGGAAGTCAAGCCAACATTTTTATCTCCTTCGGTAGTCTGGGAAAGGGATCCAGATTTTTATACTTGAGGAACAGATGTAAATTATTATTTCTAAAATTTTTATATTAGTACGTACTAGAAAATCTACAGAATGGAACTTTTTTTGCTGGCTATTTCTCAGACAGAGCACAAATATCTAGAATATGTAAAGGACTCAAAAACTACTTCTTAAAATAAAAGATCCAGTTGAAAATGGGCAAAGTAAAAGCACAGATGGCTAAGAAACACATGAAAAAATGCTCAACGTCACTGGCTATTAGAGTAATGCAAATTAAAAAACTCTGAGATTCCATTTTGCCTCAAAAATAATGTTTGTAATCAAGAAATCAAATAACAACAAGTGCTGGCAAGGTGTGAGGGAAAGGGAATCGTTCTATATTCTTGCTGGGAATGTACGACCACTTTGAAAATCAGTGTGGAGATTCCTTAAAAAACTAAAACTAGGTACAAGTACAGTTGTACCTTGACTCATGAAATAAATTTGTACTATGATTTTGGAAAAGATGGCCACATTTATGTTTGTCATGGGAAAGACGGTTACAGTTGTGCTTGTTGCCCAATACAGAGTTTTCAAACAAAAACAAAATTTTGCCAAACACAAAAACCAATTTGTTTATAAACAAAAGCATTCATAAACCAAGGTATTATGTATAATGTAACACTGTTTTAAGAGATGTATTATTGGTTTAAGGACGAGCAATTTTACAGTTAATTTTTAAAATAAAATGAGGCAGACATCTACCTGTTATTCTGCCATTGCAGCACTCATGATTTAACTTTATAGGTATTTACAACCAGTGGTTCATCCTTAAGATGGTCTTGAAAATGGTACGCAGAGAGTTTTCCTTTCAGAGTTAGGCCTACTAAACATCACAGAATGAAAATTTACTGATTTTGTCTTTCAATCCTTTGCTTTGGGGAAGTATATCTTATGTCTCTGCATTTGTGAAAACATGTAATTCTCTAAAGGAAAAGAAGCAACAACCAATTTTTCTCTTTTCTACTACATAAGTGCTATTTAGTAAGCCAGTGCTTCAATGTATTGTGGCCTAAGAGAAATATTTTCCAAAAGCTTTAAAATTATTCCCCCAATGAAATATAAGTTGTATCTGATCTAAGACACTCTGAAAATAGATTTTCTCATTGGATCAGATCATTTATGT